TCAACTAATTTCGCAAAGTCCTTTATAAACATTCTATAATAGGAACATAAGCCCAAAAATGAAGACAATTTCTTAGCCGTATTTGGGGGAGGATAACTTTTAATTGACTTAATTTTTGAATCATCAGTCTCTATGCCCTTATTAGAGATTTTGTACCCGAGGTATCGCAATTCCTTTGCCTCGAACTTGCATTTATTTTGAAACCGGCCTCGTTAAGTAAGGCAAAAACTTCTTCCAAATGTTTCAAATTTTCCTGTAATGTTTCGCTGATAACTATGATATCGTCAAGATAAATAATTGTACTTTTACCTAAAACTGGCTTCAAGACTATGTCCTTAGCTTTTTGGAACGTAGCTGGCGCTCCGCTTAAACCAAAGGGCATTCTTAAAAAGGCATACACGCCTGATTTTATTGTGAACGCGGTCTTCTGAACATCCTCCGGCTTAACAGCGGTTTGAAAGTAACCCGAAGTGAGGTCAAAGGTTGTCATGAATTTAGTCGAGCGAATTTTTCTAATTATTTGGTCAATTATTGGTAGGGGATACGTGAGATATTTTGTTATACTGTTCAACTTACGATAATCAACTGCAAACCTATACGCGTCCGGGTGTTCAGGCGGTAGTCCGTTCTTTTTTCTACAAAGGACCACCGGACTTGCGTACGAACTCGTGCTAGGCACGATTATTTTGTTTTCTAGCATTTTCTCAATATGCTTCTCGATAATTTTTTCTTTCGTTTTATCATATCTATAAGGCTTCGACCGGACTGGACGGGCATTCCCACTGTCTATGGAATGACTAACTGCCTGACAAAAACCAGGTTTGTCGTTAAACAAAGAATTAAATTTCCTTACCAGTCCTTCAATCTTCTTTTTCTCTTCGAGGTTCAGGTGATCTAGATGCGATTCCGGTATGGAAACTTCATCTTCTTCTACCGGGTCCATGTGCACCTGAAACGCAGAATTCTGAAAATTAAGATTTGCGCCGGATGCGCGCAAAAAATCGACCCCCAATGTAACTGATGTGAGTAAACTTTTCACGACTAAAAAATTAACTTTTAGAACCTCGTTTTTAATCTGAACATGCAGCGCGGTTTTCCCCAAACATACGCACTGTTTGCCTTGGGCGGCAATTATTTTCTGTCCCGTAGCTTTAAACAATCTGTAACGATGGAAATACCTTTTAAAAAAATTCTCCGATAGGAATGAACATTGTGCCCCGGTGTCCAGGAGTGCAGTGGTTGGTACATCATTTACCAGAATCTGTACCTCGGGCATAGATAGATTTTGTACTACTACTGTATTTAAACAAATTTCTGAGGGATCTTCTTTTCGTTTGGGGAGTAAATCTTGAGTAATGGCCAAACTGACTTGCACGCGCTTTCTCAGAGTTTCTTCTACTTTGAAATTTCATTGCAAGCTGAAATAGAACTTCTAATGTTTGCGGATTACGCACTTCGAGAAAATCTTGCGCTAACGGTAGAAGATGAGGTAAAATTAATTCGATAATTTCTTTATCGGGCTTTTTCCCGTATAATAGATTAAAAATATGAACTTTTCTTAAAATGAATTCCGTCAAATCCTCAAAAACGCCATGGTATTTACTATACAATTCTGATTCAAGCTTCGCACGATCTTTAACGACTGGAAATGCTTTTAGTAATGCAGACTTGAAATTTTCCCAGTTATATGATTCAGATCCTGGGTCCCCCAACAAGAACCTTCCTATACTCTTTCTGCCAGCTAAGGGATTGACCTTTTAAGGCTGTAGTAGCGATGATCACCTTTTTTAGCTGATTCACAGGGTGTAAGGTCAAATGTAAGTCCAATTGCTCCAAAAATGTCAGGACTGAGTTCTTGCCGTCAAAAGTTGCTGTTGGTTTCATAGCTGCATGCAACGTTTCCACGAGGAATCCAAACCCTTCTATTGGATTCGTGGATGTTGTAGGGACCTGAGAGGTCGGAGGGGTCAACGTAAACTTCCCGGATTCTAACGACATGGTCCGTTAAAACTTTTCGGGCGCCAAATGTAGAGTACTTCACTTTGGAATTCTAAGTTAATGTTGGAAGCGAGGAATCTAAGAACTCATAAGCGAATAATCGCTTGCGTTCGGTGACAAGAAACAACAAGATAGAAGGGTAACTAACCCTTTATTATTCTAATAAGATTTAACAAACTCCGCTTGGGAGTGTACAAGCAAAGCCCGCACTTGGTTTTGAACTAAAAAGACTAAGAATTAAACTAAAACTAAGATTAACTAAAGAAGTATAGCCTAAGCTATCAAGGTTCAATTTGAGTTGGCCCTTAACTTATTTTACTACGAAGCTTAGCAAGGGCCTGAGTACGGCCGAGCGAAATAACAGCTTAGTGGCCAAAAACGCAGACGCGCGTAAATCAGAAACTCTGATTCTCTCTCACTCAGTAAGTAACTTCGTGGTTTAAATACCGCTCCTTCACATTAAATATTCAGCAAGATTCCAAAAGTACGTTCTGGCCGGAAGTAGTAAGTTGAAGTTAAGAATTTGACAGGAAAGGAACTTTAACTTAAAATTTAACTGTTAATAAAATTAACATAATCCTTACAAGATATATACACACAAATCAGTATACAGACCATTTATACCAGAAAAACTTCGGAAAGTGTTTAAATAAACAGAAAGATCTGAATGGTTTATTGAATAACCTTTGGTTCAGATTTAAGAAAGGCATCAAATAAAATAAGGTATCACACTGTGACAATATTTGCACACCATAAATAATAGGCTCAACTCCCACCGAAGGCATAGTTGATTTTTCAAATTTTAATTTTTCTGATCTAGGAAACTTATTAATTTAGTTTAGCCTAGATTATATACGTTACAAAAAAAACTACATTCATGAATGCCTTCCGGCATGTCCTACTCGTTAGTCCTACGGGACTCTCACAGCGTTCATTTCTTACGGTATACCGTAATTCCTAATCCTAAAGCATCGATGGCACATTACTTATCAGCATTTTGCAAGAAGCTTAATTAATAGGTGGAATTATTCGCGAGAGAAGCGAGAAGATTTCTTGTAGATGTGCTTGAATTTGGCGCACATGGTCATCCCTTCGAAAATTCCAGTTATCAGGATATACACGTGGAATCACAGCACAGGAAACATTTTACCTCGCAGCATAACCAGTATAGTTTACCGGAGTTCTTATTGCTCATTTATGCAGCTTTCTTCGTACAAGAACATATTTTCTCCTCCATCTTATGCAAAAGAATATCAGCTCGATTACATGATGTTTTACCGTGGACGATGCCGAGAGCTGCGTGTGGCCCGAAGGCCCACACACTCGTTAACACGACGACAGGCAGAAAGAGAAAGACAAAACCAGTCCTTCCAGTTTTTATCCAATGCGACGCACGTGGTAGGGCGCGATAACGATTCAAGAATCGATAATGCCACCGTGTTCCCTGTGAGAATTCTGTGTTCTCACAATACCATGTTCTTCGCACCTGAACCACATAAAATTCAATTCAACAGCAATATCACAAAATATTTAAAAACAGCATATCTTTAGAATTTCCGATAGACAGTCTCGCGCGCTGGAGATAAAAATATTTTATTCCACACAGTGTGTTGCAACTGCTCGCTTTTAAATCGTTGAGTTTCTTAATCAAAAATTCGTGAAAGTTTGACAAAATATGAACTAGATTATAAAGTAAATTCCAAATTCCGCCTTCCACGTACCTATGTTTTGATCTAGGATTATGTTATTCAAAATTTGATAGCTCTAAGTACCGTCGTTTTTTCACAATGCGAAAAACATGCATTCATTCATTATTTAGTTTCTTTAAACATAATACAGGAAGATAATATTTGGTGGCAACCACTTAAAAAGTGATTCGTCGTTTACAGTGAAACGCCACAAAATGTCTTTTTGAGAGCCCTTCTGGGCTACCGCCCCTTTGGGCTAATATTAAAGGAGTTTGTTAAAATATTGCTATCATTGATTGTGTTCTTATTTTTTTAAATTTCAAATAAACAGTTTCCAAAAAATCTTATCGAAAGAAAAAGCAGCATGATTTAAAATTTAATCTCTATTAAGTGAGCTTTCGAAGTTCCGAGATGATTATGGTCGTAATTATCTCGAATAATCGAGGTTCGACAGCTATTAATAGGAAAGGTAGACCCCTTCTGTCAATCATCCTCTATGTATAAGTCGCAAACGGCAGGGGAAATCTCCTTTATTACCAGATAAAGGAGAATTTTCCGACCGTATAACCATATCATGGGAAAGAATTTTGATAAACTATAGAAAACTCATAGGAAAGAATACTGTGCTATTAAGTATTATAATAAGACCGATATGCCCATCTTAAACAACTTCTGTCTATAGTCGTCTGCCTTCAAGTCTTAAAAACGGCTGAAGAAGTTCTCTCGAATATAAGCATGTGACCATTATGGCGAGGAAGCTATGTTATTGACAAGCACAATGAGAAAGAAAATTTCCATCTTAGTCATCTTCTGTGATTCATCGTGTGCCTACAGATTTCAAAAAGTAGAACAAATTCTTCTGAATGCAACCATATGATCATCCAGAAAAGAAATCAAAAACTATTTACGAAAACTTTTAATTTAACATTTTAAACTACATTTTAGAAGATAAATATGTAAATAATTTTTATCTCTTAGAATTATTTTAATTTAAAGCAAAAAATATTGAAATTTGTGATATTTGTTGCCTTAAAAAATTACTAAACTGTTATTTTGAAATGTATCCCTTCCAGCAAATCTACGTTAAAAATGGCAGTCCACTTCCGTCGAAGTATCATGTAAATCTTCATTTAAATGATGTCCTTAAAAATATCGTTTTTAGGTGCAACCTCATGAAATAGCCCGGTAATGACATCGGAAGAAAACTGCAGCAGCTTCTAAATTAGGTCTGCGGGGACAGCTGAAGATTCTGCATACCTTGCCAAGAAACTAAAATAAACTCCTAGAGACTGCAGAGAACGATCACCGTTGAGGCAGACAGTCATCGTCATGTCTGAGCAGAGTCAGTTTCCCTTTACTAATAAAACGATGTGTTGGTTATATTGCTTTCCCCAAAACTACGAAAAGATAATAAAGCAAGTGCATAATTTCCGAAATAACAGTTATTCGAAATATTTAGTTATTTTTTTTTAAATCTAATATATTTCTGTAATTTAAAATGTGTTCTTTTCTTAACTGATGATAATTTTCAAAGATTAATGTGAAACTTTCTTTAATAAATTTTAAATAATAAGCTACGCGTACGAGATGACGTAATTTCCAAGAGAACAATTTTAATAAAGAAACGTTCACATTTTATTGGAGCCATACGATAATTTATTTTAAAACAATTTAAAGAAAGAAGCATTCACATTTTATTTGAGCCATATGATAATTTATTTCAGAACTATTTAAAGAAAGAAACGTTCACATTTTATTTGAGCCATACGATAATTTTTTTCAGAACTATTTAAAGAAAGAAACGTTCACATTTTATTTGAGCCATACGATAATTTATTTTAGAACAATTTAAAGAAAGAAACGTTCATACTTTTTTGAGCCATACGATAATTTATTTCAGAACAATTTAAAGAAAGAAACGTTCACATTTTATTTGAGCCATGTGATTTTTATTTCAGAAATAAAAACAGAATAAAAATGTGAATATTTTTTCAGAAATAAAAATGTGATTTTTATCTCTGAAATAAAAACGCTATTTTTATTTCAGAGAAAACTGAATTGGGTTATTTAGATTATAGTAAAACATACTAGGGCTATTTGCCTGGAAAGGGATGTCTTTATGGTTAAGCGATAGCTGATAGAACTATACAACAGTCACAAAAAAAGTTTAACATGCGTTTTCAAAAACATTGTCTCACAAAAACGCATCTTACGAAATTTGACAAATTTTTCTTGAAATTCTTGAATTTCAAAATTGAAAAATTTTGGTGGAGTTTGTTCGTCACTTTTTTTTCTGAATTTTTTTTTATTACGAAATACATAACCTTCCCTAGTGGTAACTGGCTAATAGCGATATTGATGACCCAGATCCACTAAAATTGCAACAATCGCATTTTATATTAATATTTTTTATATTATATATGTATATTATTATTTTTTGTATTATTTTTTTATATTTCGTTTCACAGCAAGTGGAATATCTAGGGCTGCAGTTTCAGCGACGGCATAATTAATTTCCGTATTTTCCTGGTAATTTTCATTTTTCCTGGTTCCTGGTTCCCAAAATGTCCATTAATGTAAACGTCAATAAAACTAATATTGAAACGTTTCACATTCCTTACATTAAGAATTTGAAAGATCCATTTCACGAAAAGAAAAAAAGAGATCGATGTTTGGAATATTCAATCATATTGACATTTCGTGGAATTAGAGGCTTTAAATTTGTGGAATTAGAGGGTTTAAATTAAATGACTTCTCTCTAATAATACTTGTAAATATTATTTCACTGCAAAATATGCATTCGCATTTTATTAAATCCAAGTTAATCTGTACCTGATTATATAGCACATCCTTAATATAACTATATGCCTAACATGTACCATAACTGTATAACTGTATGCCTAGCACGTACCATAATAACTGTTCCTCTCAGCAGCCCCCACCATGCACCTTTTTTCCAGGTTCTGGTCCTTATTTCAATGTTCCTCGTTTAGCGTGGTCAGTTGCATGAGGACAGAGTACTAAGCTCTTTGTTTAGATTTATTTATGCATTTATTTTTAATTCCATCGACGGGATCCAACAGGCTGAAAAGCACCTAACCCAATGGGCCAGCTGTTCCGTCGATGGCGAAAAGAAAAGAAAGCTGTTCTTCCCTCCATCTACAATGAATACTACCTCATATAAACCCAAAATATAATAACATATCTGACAGGCTAGCAAAGGAGGGTACTTCCATGTCTCAGGTTTATGCTGAACCTTTGACCTACTTTGAACTATAATTCAGAAGAAAGTTTATTTAACAATTCTTGGAGACAACTATAAACATATTCATAATATCGTAGTGCAGGTCTTGGTACAGGGAAGGACTAATCGGCTCTGGCTCGGTTGACTTCAGGACATTAAAAGTCCTCCACGAAGACATCCTTCCCCTAAAGGCATTTTAGATGCTTTGCCGTTATTTAAATTCTCCTTCTACTTATTGTAGTTACCTAGCCCTTTCTTGAAAATGTCGCAACTCAATATATAAACTAAACTCAGTGGTGCAACATCCCTAACGGGCCACGGCCTGCAGTGCCCTGTTTCTGCTTTCTTGACTTTTGGGCTCCGGAGTGCATCAGCATATGCCCTGGGCAAGTGGTCAGCTTGTCGCAGGACCCCCGGTGTTTAGTTCCCAAGCGAACTTGGTACTCATTTTATTGACTCACTTAAGGGCCGTTCCCACTGGGGTTTATCTCAGCTAACGAACACAACTAACGTAGTCGATCCATCGCCACCTGTGGTGCAGCTGCACGACGCGCTAGCCACTTCGCCACCAGGCGGTCAACTCAATATAAAACTCATGCTTTAGTTTGAGACGAATAATATTTGTCATATCACGAAGTTAGATACGTTTACCCTGCTAGAAAATCCTTTTCAAAATAATCATTTTCCTTACACTGATTATTCTACGTTTCTTTACAGCTTTTTGGGACATAATTTTAAGATTATGTATTCTGTGTATCAATATTTTATTACATGTTATGCTGACGTCAAAATACTTTATTCCGTGTCTCTTTTCTCTTGTCATGAATTTTATGCAGAAACCTTTCTCACAGCTATTTTAAAAACCTAAATCAATGCAAATCTGCCGTAAAAACATCTCTATTTTACAAATTATCTTTGATTCTTCAAAATAACTTTTAATTACATGATTATTTAAAACAATATTGAGTGAAAAAGAATAATTTGAATTCTTCAACATATTCGGCATTAAATTATGACTCTGAAAGAACTCAGAAACAGAGAACGTTAGGAAGTACAAAAACGTAAAAGAAATATAACAGAATTAGAACTGTACCTTGATAGAAAGATAAAGAAGAAGAGGTCATTAGCGAACAATGTGATTTTTTTTTCTTTCACCTTTTATCAAGATTCATTTGCCTCTCTGTCTCTCGGTTCTAGTTGGTTGCTGCCGTTAATGGATGCAACGTGTCGAATTCTCATTTGTTGGTTTCAATGGTTAGACAAATTTGCCGTTATCCCATTGTTCCAGAACACCTCTTAAAAAGTTTAAAAAAAAATAAAGTACTATGCCTTTTTATTATTATTAGCGTCAAAAATAAGAAATTATTTATTATAATCATATAATAACAATCTTGGGACAAAAAAATTAAATTTGAAACATGGACTATCAGTAAATTGAAGGCAAAGTTTAGTTAGCTCGATAAATCTTTACACGATATTCCGCAAATAGAAATCAAAATTCGAAAGAATTTTTGAATCCCATATAGATTGCAAAGCTAAAAATATTAAAAAAATTTACTATTAGTCTTAAATAAATACTTTATCTTTTCTATGATTACCTAAAGTAACATGAAGTATATCTGTTTTTACTTCCTTGTACGAAGAAAAGGAAGCATTGAAATCGCGAAAAATTTCGGTATAAGAACGAGTACAGGTAGAACTCTGAAATTTTATGTATGAGACTGCTATAATATGTAGTTGGGTACCTCCCATTTTCGCAGCAAACGGCTCTACCAATCTTGTATATATATATATGCCCACTCTGTTACCTGGCTCGGTGAGATTAGTTTTCTTATTCTTATATGTTGGTAAAGTGCGCATTTTTTGCTTTAAATGTGATTGTATTACGTGTTTTTTATGTTCTGGTTAAGGTTTTTATGCCTTTTGTTAATCTGCATGGTATAACTGTAGAAATATCAAAAATTTGAAAGTTTAGGTGGCGATTTAAGCTTAACGAACCACCATTTGCTTACATTTGAAACTCATCAGAATAGTGAATTAAGTCAGTTTCTACAATTCCAATGTCTTTTTGCCGAGTGTGATAAAAATTAAACTTCCAGTTTTGTGCACCGAAAAGTATGCCTTCTTGCACGCTAGAAGAATTCTTTGTTTTTGCGTATTAACTCCAATTTTAATTGAAAAAATGGTTTTTATAACTGTTTTTACTGCATTTGGTCTTTTATGTTTTTCGGTATTTTACAATTTTTAATGAAGATGTTTTGACCTTTTATGTATTTTTGCTTTGCCGCAAAATAAAAACAGAATTAATTGAATGACAAATATAATTCTAATGAAATTTTTAAATGGAATGCAGCAAAAAATGTGTGTAACTTGATAGGCCATACAAGGAAGTCACGTGGTGTCCACGTTAGACTTTTTTTTTTTTTTTTTTTTTTTTTTTTTTTTTTTTTTTTTAATTTTTAGTAAATGTAATAACGACACAATGACTTTCATTTCATTTTCAGCAATTGTGCATAAGACTGTTGTTCCGTTGTTCCAAACGCATTTCTAACACACGAGATGCTGAGGGAAGCACTGTTAAGGGATAACAGAAATCGCGACAAAGTGCAAACATGATTTGTCTTTATTTTTTTTTTTTCAGAAATTTAATTAATCGAATAATTTACATACTCTTTTTTCAGTTGATTGTTTATCAACAGAAAATTTCGATTATCAAGATTCAAAACGATTCTGACCGATAAAACAAGTCTCCTCCTTAACCCCTCTATAAAAGTGTTTCAGGGAATCAGCTGCCAAAATTTTACCATTTAGAATAATTTTAAATTTTACTGCTAAAGTAATTTTAAATTATAATTTCATTACCATTTAGAATAAATGATCATATTGTATTTCGAATATAAATATTAATGATCAAATGCAGTCATTTCTTTAATCTTTATCAATAGAAAGCTTTTCACAACTTAACTGAAGCTTTTCAATTAAAATAATGTTGTACGGGTTCGTAATGAATTGAATGCATAAGTTGATGAAAAGTTAATAAAATTTATTCTTAAAATAAGAAATGAAACAAAATGTTGAAATTTCCTCAGAGATATTCG